CAAATTTTTATACCTGACTATACTATGACGATTTTTGAAATTTTTATGCCTTGCTATACTATGATGTTTTTAGCCTTATTATACTATGACGTTTTTTGAACTTTTTATGCCTTACTATAATACGACGATTTTTGAACTTTTTATGCCTTACTATACTATGACGTTTCATGTCATACTACACTATGATGTTTTTTCAACTTTTTATGCTTTACTATACTATGACATTTTTTTTTACTTTTACTGCCTTACTATAGTATGACATTTTATGCCATACTATACTATGACGTTTTATCAAATTTTTATACCTGACTATACTATGACGATTTTTGAAATTTTTATGCCTTGCTATACTATGATGTTTTTAGCCTTATTATACTATGACGTTTTTTGAACTTTTTATGCCTCACTATAATATGATGATTTTTGAACTTTTTATGCCTTACTATATAGTATGACAATTTTTGAAATTTTTATGCCTTACTACACCATGACGTTTTATGCCTTACTATAGTATGACAATTTTTGAAATTTTTATGCCTTACTACACTATGACGTTTTATGCCTTACTATAATATGACGTTTTATGCCTCACTAAACTATGACTTTTTTTTAACTTTTTATGCCTTATTATACTATGACGTTTTTTGAAGTTTTTATGCCTTACTATACAATGACGTTTTTTGAACTTTTTATGCCTTACTATACTATGACGTTTATGCCATACTATACTATGACGTTTTATGCCTCATGATACACTGAAATTTTTTTGAACTTTTTATGCCATATTATACTATGACATTTTTGAATTTTTTATGCCTTACTATACCGTGATATTTTTTCAACGTTTTATGCCTCACTATACTATGACGATTTTTGAACTTTTTATGCCTTACTATACTATGACGTTTATGCCATACTATACTATGACGTTTTATGCCTCATGATACACTGAAATTTTTTTGAACTTTTTATGCCATATTATACTATGACATTTTTGAATTTTTTATGCCTTACTATACCGTGATATTTTTTCAACGTTTTATGCCTCACTATACTATGACGATTTTTGAACTTTTTATGCCTTACTATACTATGATGTTTTTTCAACCCTTTATGCCTCACTATACTATGACGATTTTTGAACTTTTCATGCCTTACTATACTATGATGTTTTTTCAACCCTTTATGCCTCACTATACTATGACGATTTTTGAACTTTTTATGCCTTACTATACTATGACGTTTTTTTTAACTTTTACTGCCTTACTATAGTATGACTTTTTATGCCATACTATATTATGACGTTTTATCAACGTTTTATGCCTCACTATATTATGACATTTTATGCCATACTATACTATGACGTTTTATCAACGCTTTATGCCTCACTATATTATGACATTTTATGCCATACTATACTATGACGTTTTATGCCTTATTATACAATGACCTTTTTGGAACGCTTTATACCTGACAATAATACGATGTTTTTAGCCTTATTTTACTATGACGTTTTTTTTTAACTTTTTATGCCTTATTATACTGTGTCCATTTATAGACTTTTTTTGCCTTACTATACTATGACATTTTATGCCATACTATACTATGATGTTTTTTCAACTTTTCATGCCTTACTATACTATGATGTTTTTGAATTTTTTATGCCTTGCTATACTATGAAGTTTTATGCCTTACTATACTATGACCATTTTTGAACTTTTTATTCCTTACTATACTATGACGTTTCTTTTTACTTTTATTGCCTTACTATAGTATGAAATTTTATGCCATACTATACTATGACGTTTTATCAAAGTTTTATGCCATACTATACTATGACGTTTTTTGAAATTTTTATGCCTTACTATAGTATGACGTTTTATGCCTTACTATACTATGACGATTTTTGAAATTTTTATGCCTTACTATAGTATGACGTTTTATGCCTTACTATACTATCACCTTTTATACCTTATTATACTATGATGTTTTTTGAATTTTTTATGCCTTATTATACTATGACGATTTTTGAACTTTTTATGCCTTACTATACTATGACCTTTTATGCAATAATATACTATGACGTTTTTTGAACTTTTTATGCCTTACTATACTTTGACCTTTAATGCATCATTATACTCTGACGTTTTATCAACTTTTAAAGCCTCCCTATAGTATGACATTCTATACCATACTATAGTATGAAGTTTTATCAACTTTTTATGCCTTACTTTATCATGACATTTTATGCCATACTATACTATGATGTTTTATGCCTTATTATACTATGATGTTTTTGGAACTTTTTATGCCTTACTATATTATGACATTTTATGACTTACTATACTATCACCTTTTATACCTTATTATACTATGATGTTTTTTGAATTTTTTATGCCTTATTATACTATGAAGTTTCATGCCTTATTATACTAAGACGTTTTTTGAACTTTTTATGCCTTAATATACTATGACGATTTTTCAACTTTTTATGTCTAATTATACTATGATGTTTTTTGAACTATTTATGCTTTCAATTACTATGATGTTTTTGAGCTTTTTATGCCTTACATACGATGACGTCTTATGCCTCATTATACCATGATGTTTTATGTCTTATTATACTATGACGTTCTTTGAACCTTTTATGCTTTACTATGCTATGACGTTTTTTAACTTTTTATGCCTTACTATACTATGACATTTTATGCATTACTATACTATGATGTTTTATGCATTACTATACTATGACGTTTTATGTCTTACTATACTATGATATTTTATGCCATACTATACTATGACGTTTTAGGACTTATTATACTATTACGTTTTTTGAACTTTTTATGCCTTACAATACTGTGACGATTTTTTAACTTTTTAAGTCTCATTATTGTATGAGGTTTATTAAAATTTTTATCCTTTACTATACTGTGACGTTTTATGCCTCACTATACAATCACATTATTTTGAGCTTTTTATGCCATACCATACTATGACGTTTTATGCCTCACCATACCATGACGTTTTTTGAATTATTCATGCCTTACTATACTATGATGTTTTATGCCTTATTATACTATGACGTTTTTTTTTTACTTTACATGCCTTACTACAGCATGACATTTTATGCCCTACTATACTATGCCGTTTCATGCCTTATTATCCTATGACATTTCTTGAAATTTTTATGCCTTACCATAATATGAAGTTTTATGACTTATTATATTATGATGTTTTTTGAACTTTTTATGCCTTACTGTACTATGACTTTTTATGCCATACTATACTATCACCTCTTTTGAACTTTTTATGCCTTACTATACTGACATCTTATGCCATACTATAACATTTCATGCCTCACTATACAATGACGTTTTTTGAACTTTTTATGCTGTACTATACAATGACTTGTTATTGAACTTTTTATGCCTTAATATTCTATGACGATTTATGCCTCACAATACTATGACGTCTTATGGCTGATTATGCCGTGACGTTTTTTTAGGTTTTTATGCCTTAATATACTTTGACGTTCAAGACATTTTTATGCATTACTACATTATGAACTTTTATACCTTAATATACTATGACTTATGATTAATCTATGACATACTTGTCCCTTTTATATTTACTTATACAATGAACACATACTTTGGGATTGATATTTATTCATGTAACATATACAATATCTATAGTATAAACCTATAATAAAAAGACACATACTAAAATACATGCAGCTAGACATATATGTCAACATAATATTGTTCCAATTTCAGGTTTCATATCTAATATATATATATATCTTCATATGCTATACTGTACGTACATATATGATTTTACTTCATATGTACATATATTTCATATATGGACATTCAACACATGTACATATATTACATTTACGTTAGGTCATTTCTGAATGTAAATTCATATATTAACACACTGTTTGGTTGACAGCATTAAAAAGTCAATTCCTTTCTTTTGGACGGGAGGCGGGGTTATTGTGTACCTTCCAATGTTGAGACCAAACCTTCGCCCTTGGTTTGACCACATTGTGTGACTTATCTTTGTGAGCTTTTAAGATCCAAATATTCGCATTGATCTGCAGTTTATCTGCTCCTGTTCTTCCAGAGGAGAAAATCCGCACGCTGACTCTGTCAATTCCAGATTGCATCTGCTTTGACTTAACTGACTGATTTTTCCTGGCTACTGAAGTTTGGACACAAGAACGGGTCCGGTCCTTGTTGGTAACTTGCTGGTTTGTGGGCAGATGCGGAGTTTTCAGCTATCTGGATGTTATATCATTAACACACAGACAAAGTAATTGCCTCCCAGTTCCAAGCTTAACACATGGACATATGAGTGCCTGTGTGTTAAGCCTGTGTGTTAAGCTTGGAGCGCCCAAGCTAATTGGTGGGCAATTAGCTTAGGTTAGAATGAAGGAATTAAGGCAGGGGGGAAACAACTAGCATGGTTTTGTTCAAAGCTCAAAATTACATTCACCAAGTCTAAGTGAGTAAATGACATGTTATCATCATCATTATCATTTGTTTAGTTTGTGAACAAAGGAATAAAATGACACATCTGTGGTCTTCATGCTTCTTGTGGTTTAAAATCAATTTTAGACTAACAAAGTTCTACTCACAGTGGAACCACAACTGTGGCGCGTCCGACACAGGCACAATAGCCTGTGTGATTATTTTCAGGTTGTGCAATTGCTTGAAAGTTTAGGTCACCATTATCATTATCATTATATTATTATTAAGATGGGTTAAAATTGGTCAATGGCATTCAGCCATGAGCTAATCCATTCATTGTTTCTGTAAAAATTACTTGATTTTGGTCCAAAATTTCACTTTTGTAGATGCTGGTGCGACACCTTAAAACACTGCTGTTATGTCATCAAATACCAAGTAAGTACTGCAACATGTGTGAATACTGCCACAGTATAAATATTCAGGCCAGGCAATAAATCAGAAAAAACAATCAAAGCTGCAGCCAGTCAACATTTATCTTTAATTCTGCACATGCTTATCAATTCACCAAAACATCTGAAGGAATATTTAAGGCTGTAGATAGAATTAAATGATACAAAAATCTGGGCAACAAAGAAGGAATTAAGTTAGTATGCTAAAAATACAAAATATAAAATTTCATACTTAAAAAAATTATACCTTATCAAATGTTGTGTATTTATTTACAATGTCAATAAACACTTCAAAAAAGAATACAGTTCAGGATTGCGCCTTTAAGAAAGTCTCATAAATAAGAAGTTTAGATATGAACAAAGTAGTCTCGTTTCACATTTTTTTCTCTCCCATTTGATTTTCCTGTTAAAATGCTATAATATTCTTTCAATATTCTGTCCTAAAAGAAAAAATTTCAACGAAAACCTTTTTTTTTTCCCTAGAAGAGTTAATACAGACTTTCACCAAAGTGGTTCAAGGAAAAAGTTGAGCTTTGACTCATGAAGTGAGGACATTCATTGGAGCCCCAAAGCAGACCAGCTTTCACATATGTATATGAACAGTTCTGAAAAATTATGTCTGAGCTTCTCTGAAAAAAAACCATATCTGCATTTCATTTTCTTATGAATTAATGTCTTGTCTGTAAATGTCTATCCACTTCACACTGTTACATTGTGATTCTACATAATAACAGAAAAAAAGATCCTTATGTTGTGCGTAATAACAACACAAAAGTTAACTTGACTTCCAAATGACTTCAGCTGTTTGCTTACTCCACTGCTTTTGAAGATTAAAGCATCTACTGTAAAGGAGCTGATTGAATCCATATGATGGCTACAACAAGAAGAACAACACCCTGACTTAAAATAACTATATATGCTCAATCATATGTACTTCTGAAGTGAGGTTGAAGAGGAACATTGATGGTTTGGAACACCAGCGCTCTGTGATGTGGAAAACACAACATCCTGTTTCATGAGAATTCCCCAAATGGACTGAAATAGTGCAAAAAAATACTCGACACTATATACAATACAGGGTCCAGTTATTATCCAACAATCAAAAGACATCTGAGCTGTGGAAGCAGAGTGACGCCTCACCGCTGGGCTTGTTTTAACCAGCAGGAATCAGTTGTTACTCCTATGATGCATTGTAAACCTCTCATCAGCTTGTAGAGCTGAAATTTTTCACATATTTTTTGAGGGCTCTGCAGGGAGAGGCGTTATAAAAAAAGGAGAAACCCGATGCTGACCTTTTGGCAAAAAGCTTTCCAGGCGACCTTCTCCTGTGCTGATCTGCCTTGGGGCTCCTGTTAAACTGGAGCTGTGGAACATTAGCCAGGTTGAGTCTTGTCCTGGGGAATTACTGGACTGACACAGAAAGTGCTCATAAACACATTTGGAGCCATTCAGCCAAACCCAATCATTTAAATCTGGTTTAAAAGCTCCACTCTCTCCCCAATGGGATAAGCAATCATGCAAACGCTGCACAGAGGTGGTGAACTAGCAAGTCCAAACTTAGAGGCCACTTGCTTTTTTATTATGTTCACTGTCATCATCCCCTTCATCTCCACAGAGCTTTCTATTTCTAGCTGAGGAGATGCTGAAGCAGTGGGGCAGTGCAGTTCAAAATAATGAAGCAATGGCTGAAAAATCACAAGCCTCACAGCTCAGAAATATCAACTCATTTATACAAGTGATCCCACACACACAAGCTTTTCTTTCTTCTCTTACACACACACTCACATTCCAGGTTCATTACCACATCATCTTCACCAGGACTTGGGAAACCATCCACACTAATCCAATAACAGCCTGAACCACACAAGGATTCATAAGTTTTTTTTTTTTCTCCTTTTTTTCCAGTGCAATTCATGGGTCTCTCCCCAAGTCCGCTCTGCTCCTCTTCATTTCTGCATCATATCCGTTTGATATGATTCTGCTTGGTCCAGTTTCAGTTCTAGTCCTAGACAAGTCCAGTCCAGTATAGTATAAGGTCTAACAGATTCTGTTCAGTCTTGTGCAGACAAATCTAGTCCCCCTCCAGTCCAGTTTGGTCATCGCTAGTCCAGTATCGTCCAGTTCAGGTCTTTTTCTCAGCCCTGGACTATAAAAACTCCACATAGTTTTCTGGTATCAGTCCTGTTCGACCGTCCAGAGTCCCTTCCAGCCAGCCCGGCTCCCTGGAGGCATGAACTGAAAAGAGAGAGGTGGAAACATTGAATTTGTCTAAAAAGCTCAAGATAGAGGCAACAATGTCCATAAATATGAAGCACTTGAACAGGACATGTGCAGATAGTGAGAGAGAGAAAGAGTGGGGGTAAATAATAACTGCGAACATTAATAGCTGCTAATAAGTCAGCATGAAATATGTGCAAGGATGAAGGACTCCAGAAACTCCAGAAAGGAGTGTTTCCTACTGTTTTCACCAGATGTAAATGACGGTGAGAACAACCTAAGTACCTAAATTATATTTTGTAACAGGTTTAAAAAAAACAAAAAAAAACAGCATAATGATTATGGGCATATATTAAAAGCAGGCTTGGTTTGGTATTAAGGGGTGTATATTAAAATTGTCAGACGATCATTATTATCCTTTTAACCTAAACACTCTGTTTATACAATAGCTGCTTTCGAATGTTGTTTCAGCTGTACTGCTCAGCTTTGGCTGTTCAGAAAGGTACATAAACAACTGTGTAGCCTAACACTGAAATGCATCAGGCTGTGGACAATCAAATCTAAATTAGCCACGAATTTAACAATGCCATGTTATCTTTGACATTCCTTAAACTGGTATTAATGGCGTCATAAAGTTGATATGGAAAACGTGTTGGGAAATAATCGCCTACATGATAATGGCCACCTGAGGAATGTAAGTCTTATTAGCTTTGTTTTGGTCTCCTCCTGAAGGAAATATCTGCCTGTTTAGCGGCTAAATGCTCCACTGTGTTCCCCAGCCAGCAAACAACTTTGTGTGTTGTTGTTGGTGTAACAGGTAGTGAAAATTAGGATTTATCACAGCATATGACAGCTGCCTACTTCTGTGGTGAGAGAGAAAACAAAGCAGTTAAGGCACCAGCCTTAAAACCAAGACAATGAGCTAAAAGATAAATAAAAATAATAAAGTTAAGTACGGCTGAGGGGACCTGCAGAGGTAGGCGATAATCCTCTGTGGGTTTGTCACTACGAGCCTCCTCTTTCAGTTTACATATACCACACATTGTCATTTGACCCATTATAAACCCAACATAAGAAATAATATTGATTAGTACAGCTTTAATGTTAAAACATTAACAATATTGTGTGAATTTGTGAGCACTAATTATTAATTTGAGAAGAAAAATCAAGTAATTATTAAACACAATAAATAATTGAGGTGACAGCGAGTTTGTTTTCTGTTGGCTGAGTCAAAGATTTGATGTAAATATGTGGCAGGAACTGAAGTTGAGGTTATGAAAGGAAATCCAACAAAAAGGCTGTGGCATAAAGTATGTTGTTATGTGGTAGAGATTCACTAAACAAGAGGTCCTCTGGCAAAAACAGCAGGAAATTAAAATGAACATCTCAGCAGGAGTAAATAGTGTGTTCACCACATTTTGCCCTCGCAGGGAATCTAATTCACAAACCATGCTACCTCATATCAAAGAACAAAACCAAATGTGAACTGAACAACTGAACTGAACTGAACTTCATTGATATGCCTGACCTAAATGTAAAAAAAAATTGTACTGTAACAGGTTCTTATGACTATGAGGCTGCAGTGTAAGCTCTGTGGGGACAGCTGGGATGCTCTGTCCTTGGCTAGCCATGAGCAGACAGGGGTGTTGAGATGCCACTGTAGGGATTACGTGTCCCCAAGGTCACATTTTGACCCAAAGGGCTCCGGTGACACTGCTCTGCATTACATAACTCTCAACAGGCTTTACCCTGTGCTAACTCTATTTAGGGTCTGGGAGTCTGGGACACTGGCATGTGCCAACCGACAGCGTGAGTGTGTGTGTCCCTTCAAGGAAACTGATTTTTTCTGCAGGGATTTACAATGTACCATGACAGTTATTCAGTTCAACTGTTATTCTGGCCTGATTACAAGTGTTAGCGGCACAAGCACTGCTTAAGTAGTTTTACTATCCTGACATTTGTGCCCATCTGGAGGAGTTGAGCAAAAGAAAACTGTGGAAAGATAAACATGATTCACAGTTTTGGGAGCTCACGGTTAGAGAAAGTGAAATTAGGCAAGAGAGGACCACAGAGACAGTCTGATGAGATTCATATACTGAGGGGAGGTGGAAAGGAAAATAAAAGTTAAAGAAAAAAGGAAGCCACTGAAAAATAGAAATAATATTTTCAACACTTTCCTGTATAAAGCAAATGACTCCTCCATCTGAAAGATATTAAGTTCTTGCCTGCGTGCAAAAAGCAATTCATTGCACTTGACTGCATCTGTTACAGTCCGGTCTGCTTGCCAACCTCTGATATTCTGCTTGCCAACCTCTAATATGCAATAAAAGCAAGTGCATATCCAAGCTTATTTTGAGGACAAGTGCTGGATAAAAAACACACTTAACAAACAGAAAAATATATCACATGCTGCAGATTCAGGCTCCATGTAATTAAATGCATGATACCAATTAAAAAGCTTTTTTATACAACTCCAGTGCATCTTCCTCGTTCCTCTAGTATGAACACTAAAGGAAAAACTTTACGGAGAAATGACAGGGAACCATTAAATGTCTGTATTGAAATGGTAGCCAAGGGAAAATGGTGTTAAAAGCCTTTCAATTATAATTTTTTGGGGCAAAACCATTGACCGTTTGGACAACTCAAACATACTCAACCCTGGCGATGAAATCTGGCACCGAGGCTAAATAAATTAAGTCCAGCAAATTCCCAAGGTGTACTTCTTTTTTGTTTCGACAGTAATTGTTTGTTTTTATACAAACACCAACCCACATTCTTTCCTTTCTCCTCTCTGCTGGCAAAGTCTAGAGCCTGACTCACCGTTCTCGAAGACAGTTCCAGCGATGAAGGACAGCTCAGAGTCATGCTCCGCCTTGCAGGCATACAGCGCTCGAGCCTTCCTGCCCGCAATACTGGAGAGATTAAGAAAGTTAGAAAAATGTTTAACAATCCTTCATTTAGACATCTCAAACTACACCTAAAATAACACCTCAAGTTACAGAAGCCAAAGACAGGTCATTACTTTATATGGACTGTTTTATAAGTACCAAGTGGCTCTACTTCACACACGATAATGGATTTTGTCAAACTTAAATGACGTGATCCTCTTGGACTGTTATGGATTTCATGTTCGAGCTTTTGTTTTCTTTTTTATTGGACACATAATAACTATAAAATTTACATTTAAACTACAGTTTTCTTCTCTTGCAAGTCCTATAATTTATACTGAATTGGGCCACAGAACCTGCTAACTGCCGTGTAAAGTTTAGTGGTTGGATGAACGGCTGGGACTTTGAGGGTGCAAAGCAATGGTAAGGATTACCAGCTGTTAACAGCTTCTGTGGCAGCACCAGGACACTTGAAGCTTGAAACTTGAAGCACTGAAATGTAGTGACAGACACACAGTTTGTCTGCCAAGGCTGAGTTAAATGACTGCACCCAAATAAGATACATTTTTATTCCAATTTAAATAGAAAAGCTTATATAAGAATGACTGCTGCCTAATCTGGGTAAAAATAGATGGTATATTGATCCCCCGAGTAGCAATTCAGCTTTTAAATTCTCTCCTTTCATGGGGAAGGTCAGAAGTCACGGTCCACTACATGATAGCTCCTTGAATCTTGTAGGGAGGAAGTGCTTTGCTGAAGGACACTGCAGCTTCTTGGTTAAAAAGCTTTTCTTGAATTACCTTCCTATTCCTAATGAGAGCTACTTAAGTAAATAATAGCACATTAGCATATCACTAACAGCATTCAGTAATTTACTGAATAGTACTTGATGAGCGCTTGAGTCAAATTCCTGGCACTACAACAGCTCTGTACAGGATATAAACAAATATAGTGCTTTCACTTATTTCCTTTCTTCTCCTCTCATTTCACTGTGTCATCTGTGCAAAGTCAAACACACCAGGGTCTAAATGGGTCTGCTCTTAATTTACAACACTTCTGTCTCTTTAATAGAACTTTATTTGTTGTTGTTGGAAACTTCCAATCTTTCCCATTTTACTCATGGAGTTCCTCAAGGGTCAATCTTGGGTCTGTTATTGTTTTCCATTTGTATGCTGCCCTTAGGTCAGATCATTAGTAATCATAATGTACAGTATCATTGTTATGCTAATGACGACCACTTATATGTCCAGATACAGTACACTCATCCTAGTAGCCTAACCCAACTTACCGACTGTCTCTCTGATTTAAATTGCCTGACTTTCCAAAATCTCCCTCAGACTTAACGATGAAATTCTCTCGTTTGCCACACCAAATTCTTTCAGTCAGATATTTAGCAGTGTGGGTCAATCAGTCCTACCTCTTCCGACTTTTCATCTAATTGAAGTTCATTCCAAAAATATAATCTTTCCTATCCTCCTAGGATTTACACAGTGCTGTCCATGTGTTTATGTTTTCACGGCTAGATTTCGGTAATGCCCTCTATACAGGCATTACGCAGTCTTCCCCACATTGCCTTCGATTGGTCCAACTTTCTGCTGCTAGGATTATCACTAGTTCAAGAAAATATTATCATAAAGCACTAATTCTGGCCTTCTGGTATTGATTTAAAAATGTTATTGTTGACTTTTAAGGCTTAACGCAACCAGGTCCCTGTATAAATGTATATCAAGGATTTACTAACTCCATATGAGCCTGGGCACCATTTTAGATCAGCTGATAGTGGCCTTCTGGTTGTTCCCAGAGCCCGAAACTCTGGAATGACTTACCTGCCAAGATAAGATTTGCTAGATTTGTCACTGCTTTTGCATCCCCTCTTAAAACTTTTTTTAAAAATAAAAAATAAGGCTTTCATCCGTGTGAATTTAAATTTAATTCATTTTATTTAACTGTGTTATTGTTGTTTTATCCTTTTGTGAAGCACTTTGTGACTTTACAAATAAAGCTTATTCTTCTTATTATTATTAATCATCACACAAACAATGTTGACCAACCTGATAGGAGAGGAGTCACTGGAGGCGGAGGATGTCGGCTGAGGACTTGACGGGGCTGAGAACATCGGCCAGGAAGGTGACCGTGGTGAGGTGGGGCTGGGGGATGTTGCACTGATGGACAAATACACACAAAATGACACACTGGCAGTATTATACAGAAAAAAACACACATGCATACTATAAAGTTCTGGACATTATCAGCTATGAATAATGTGACTCTCTTAAATTAAAAACACGTTTTTTTTACCTGATAGGGATGCTGCCACGACTCTTTGGGTTGAGCCTACAGAAAATGAAATAAAGACCAAGATTAAATAACTGGTCCCAATCAATGAACCAAGATGTTAAGTACTTCAACAGTTCAGCACTTGTGAAAACAAAGGAAAGCTATTTTAACCAAACTGATATTCATTTAGACATTATACCTCAAGAGTGATTATGTTACTAAACGGTTTTCCCTTCTCACTGATGTCTACTTGCATTAGCTTTCCAGCACACAAGGCACAAATGTAAGGCCCACAGACCTCTAAGCTTGCAGAGTAGAAAAAAAAAGTTTAAATAAAACAGAACCCAAAACATTTAGCTGCAAGGAGAAACTAACTCCTTAATAGCTCTCAAAGGGTGATGTGTCTTAATGTGCTCCTTAGCTGAAGGCTAATAGCCATGATGGTCATTTTGGTGAGTCAAAACAAATGACTCCACCAGGTATACACTTTGCCCCACTCTGGTTCTGATACCTGGTCAATATATGAACTACATGCTGTATTTTACGGGTCTGTAGACAGGGAAAGACATGTAATGCCAAAGCAACAGGACTAACATGTTTATAGACAAAAAGAATATTCAGAATTTGCTCATCCATCTACTGCAATCACACATAGTTGTAGTGAGACTCTTTCCAATTTAGGGGGAGGGTGTACCTATAGTAATATCATCTAATTTCCAAATGGTCATTCAACATGGTGCTTGTAAGCTTTGCAATGAACAACAGTATTTTTAGTGATTAAAATATACAGAAATATGACAGAAAATCAGAAGATTGTGACATAAACAAGAGCAACAGAGTCATGAGGAAGAAGAACGCCCACCACTTTGCATTCACGCTGCAGCACTGATAAAACTCAGCCAGGATGTTGTGCATCATGACTGACTACATGTGTTTCAGGCTCAGAGATATTTTCTGTTGCCTCTGCTTCTCTATTATGTCATTGTTCTGCCCGACATGAACTCAAATAATACTGAGAAAGTCTTAAAAGGCTGGATTACACAAGGGAGGCGTCGTTTAGTATTCAACATACAGCACGTCTTTTCATGCAGCCACTTGCCTGATATTAAATACCTCTAATTGAGGACAATTACACACACAATTCTCTATGAGAAATCTTGTCTGCAGTCCTTCCAATTTCTCTGCGATGTCTAAAGGCTTCAAAATTGCTTCTCAAGCATTTTTCTTCTGATCACTGAGGGGATTTAAGATGTAAAATCAACAGGGATCTGACCTTTGAGTAGAAGTCACTGGTCAGCCTATTCAGTTATACACAATACCCACAATGCCCCTATAATCATTGACAATTTATTGCCAGAAGTGAGCTAATAGGTGCTATTAAAGCTAAAGCTAAAGCTAGTCACAGAGGGGTTTATACAATTCAAGCACCAGAACAGCATGTATGTAACCACACCTCAATGCTAGCTATGAGCACAAAGTACCCTAAAGCACAAATCGATGACAAAATTGAATTTGTATAAATTTCAGATATTTTTAAACTTCTTTAAATGCTGTATAAGCCTCAGAAGAAGGTCCAACACTTTGTTTGAATTGATGTAAGTATCCAGTAGCCACTTGGTTGCCACAGAACAAGCTGTAAACACAACACTGACATGTTTTCTTCTTCAAGCATCAGTTGCTAATTTACAAACACATATTGAGCAATGTTAGCATTCAGTTGGGTTTCTGACCATCCCATTGATGCAAATCTAACATTCACCCCTTTTTATTCTCTGTTTTGTTCTCCACCAACTCCTGACTAATATATGTGGCTAAATGCTCCACTGCGTCCACCAGCTAGTTGCCAAATTTGGCAGCTGTTTGTGCTGGAAAGGCAGCATTAAGTCAGTTTATAAGAGCTTTTCACATCTGTTGCAGCTGGAAACAACCACAATGAGAGCTGAGAGACTGAACCAAAGAGTAAAGCTTTGCTCCATAAAACCAAAATAATGAGCTTAAAGATGCTAAAAAAAGCTCCAGTGAGTTGAGGGGAACTGCAGAGCCAGGTTAAAAATACAGTTATTTCATATTACACATAGTCATTTAATCCTTTGTTAATATAAAAATGTTGATTTGATCAGTTTTAAGGTTTGTGACTTGAATAAATAAATAGATACTCTGCATACACATGATTATCAAAGGAAGAAAATAACCACATTTTTCAGCCAATATCAGGCAGTTGTGATGACGTGAAATATGGTTGCCATGGTGACGCTGCTACATCCTAGGACGAGATTTGGGATAATGATGGTCACTTAAATAGCCACAGTTAATAAAGCCACTCATTCAAAAACACAAAGAAGAGAAAGAAGTAATAAATGTTATTTTCTTTGCACCTGCTATAAGGAGTCCAACCGCGGTTTCCAACAGTGCACTCCTGCAGACAATATTGGCTTTAACTCTGCAGTGGAATCACATAATCACGTATAGACATAAGGAATGGATGTGAAATAGATTCAAGGTGGAAATTTAATTTTTGACCTTGAAAACAACAGTCTCTCCATGTGGACCATTCAATGGCTGCTTTTGATTGTATGACCCGATCAATCATGGGTAGAATGATGGATGTTTGAGTTGACAGCATTTTGTGAATATTGGAAAGACTATCAACTTTATAAATTGACTTTGACTTGACTTTCAAATTCTAATATTTTTAACTGAGTGTTGCGCAGATGGAGCTCTGACTGACATCCAAACAGACTGGAAACAGAAATACTTTTAATACAGTGACACATTGTGAAACTTAACTGAAAAGAACTGTTTTGTTTTTGAGAGGTCACAATATTGTTACATGGGCTGCAGTGCAAATAACTAGCAGGACCTTATTTACTATGAAGTGTAAATATGACAGCATAAACAGGCCCAATCAAGCACATTCAAGACATTTTATTAACGTGGCTTTATCATTGTATAGGTCTTGTCTGACTTTCACCTTAATGGATTAATGTGCTTTAAGAAAATACAGCAAAAGGTTGCGGTAATGTGCCTTATTTATATATTAAACTGTCAGCTTGACTGACTGCCCTCAACGATCCACCATCTCTCTCCATTTGTCACTCACTGCTTGTCAATGTGCTCTCTCTCATCTGCTTCCACTGTTCCAATTTCTTTTCATCCTATTTACCTCCCTCTAACCCATTCATCTTCTCTCCCTCTCTCCAGTGGAGCCGTTGGAAAAAGACGATTTCCAGCTGACAATGAATATATTTTTAACTACAGCGGAATCCAAAAGTCTGAGACCACTTCCCCCGTTCACTTGAGTGGGACTCGGTATAAATCAGTGCTTTCTTTCTCCAGCTTTAAAGAGAGTGAACTTGACTCTTTCTCAGATTACCCTTCCTGTTTGCCAGCCATGCTGTACACGAGCAAATACGGATACAAATCAGCTGGTTTCAGGTCAATGTAGTCTTCCTATAACACTTGCAGCATATCTGACAGCTGATTTAATTAAACTGATCTCCTGTCTCTCTCCTCTCCTCCTGACAGGCCATTTATTCACTTTGTCATAACACACCCACACACTCACCGCAGCACAGACACGAAGGCAAAGGCACACACCCGTCCATCTCATTAAAAGTGAATCCAAAGGCACATTTGAAGGCTGCCAGTAACAGCAGCATGTATCTAAAATTAACAGATTGGCAACAGTCAACATCAGCTTTAATACTGAAAGCAATCTCAAAGGAAGGGGAAACAAATCATTGTGTTTGTAACCAATATGGCGTGTGTCTGTATTTACTGTACCAGTTGAGACAAATTCCAAGGAAAGAAAAAAAAAAAAAGGTTCACAGCACAGCAACAACACAGCACAGTTGTTGTCTTCATGTTTGCCAGCGCGACAGTTCTCCTGTTGATCACATCTGTTTTCACAGTGACAAATGCCAGTTTACGACCTTGTGGAGCTTCTTTGAGTCGGAATGTACCATCCACTGCCTAGAGGGCTCTTTGCAGCAGTAAAACTGCATGACCTTGCACATACCAAGTTTAGGCACCATAAGAAACACAAGGGTGTAAAAAGCTCTCAGGAATAGTGCAGGAATGAGCATCTCATTAATTGTAATTGCTCCTAACATCACGCAGGTATCATTGCGCACTAGATTTTCTTTGTTTTCACAATGGCAGCTGCTGATTGAAGTCATACAAAGGACAGGGAAGAGATTAGACTAGTTAGGTTGGTTAATGAACTGTCCTACTTCCTCCCTGCACGCTGCACTTCTCTATACAAATGAGGACATACAGTATATATGAAGCGCTGACACGTGTCATCTTTTTTTACTTTACACCTGAACGCTTTACCATACATTCTCAAAAAATAATTCACCTCAATGGCAGAGAGAATCAGGTCTTTATCTGGCCTTTTATTCCTATTCTACCCTGCTTCTCAGTTAGCGCAACCTTAAAACTTCCTCAGTGTTTACTTGTTGTCTTGATCGTTTCAGCGACAGCTCTAATCTCTTCAGTGCAACAGCAGAGTCATCTCATACTCACCACTCTGCTGCTCTCACTTTCTCGTCTGACACACACACACACAAACACACACACACACACACACACACACACACACACACACACACACACCTTTTTCCCCTTTCCGTTCTTCCTGATCGATGTTGACCTACTGTTAATGCAACTCAACAGCTCCNGTCTGACACACACACACACAAACACACACACACACACACACACACACACACACACACACACACACACACACACACACACACACACAGTGTTTTCATTCACAAATGAACTCCAGTCCTTTTTCCCCTTTCCGTTCTTCCTGATCGATGTTGACCTACTGTTAATGCAACTCAACAGCTCCAGCAGATTTTTCACATTAAAAGTCTTTCTCTCTTCCTGTTATTGGTGGGTAGATAATGTGATGTGGATGAAACTGGTATTTGCTATTGAAGAAAAGAGAGTGAGAGCAGCATAATAGTGAGTGTGTCCTATTGTAGTAATTTCAGCCGCTTCAGTGTTTTGTTTTGGGTCTTTTTTGTACCTGGCCTCTATTAACA